GAGGAAACTATGTAGACACGTGGTTTCATCTTAAGCAGCATCTTTCAGGAAGGAGGCTGTACCAAATAGGATGATTAGTAGTCAAGTTGATGAACTTGAAGTGAATTTGTTCTATACAGAGTTTTAAACTTATAACATAGGACAGTTTGTAGGGAGACTAGTTATCCATGTCAAAAACTGCTTATATAGCAGGTTGGGCAGTTGGCTTATAAAGTATTTATCATACACTCACTCACACCAGGGAAAGCAATGCAGATGCCTCGTTTAGCACGTGAGCTGTAGTAATGTAACCATTAGTCATGCTCTGAAGACGCAGCATTAGGGGACAGTGTTTATAATGTGTTAGGTGAAAAATTGAACTTTACACTATTGTTGCAACCTTGCAGGAAAGTGAATTAGGGAAGAATAGGGTGGGAGAAATATAAATGAAGTGGCACTGGTGATTACGCGAGGGTGAGATTGTGAGTGATTCGGCTTTATCTCCCCATGCACTGCGGGGCACACAGGCTATTCAGTGACGGCACCACAGGTCAGCTGATCACATGGATGCTGCTTTTCTAAGATGGAGTCAGCATTTCCAAAAAGATAGCTTGAGACACTCTCTCTGTACAGAAAAGCAACTTTCCTTCACCAATAGGAGCCTAAATCACAGCACTTGAGGGCTCTGAGGGATGGGGACCAGAGGGGCGGACCCCACTATCAGTATGGGCTATCCATTGGGCTACTAACCACAAGGTTAGCAGTTTGAATCCACAGGCTTCTCTGAGGGAGAAAGATGAGGCTTTCTGCTCTTGTAAAGATTTACAGGGGCAGCTCTGCTCTGTCCTGCAGGATTTCTATGAGTGGAAATCCACCTGATCCTAGGGAGTAGGCAACAGTAAAATTCTCCCTCAAGAATCTTGCTAAGTCACCTTTACAAATCTCTTTTCTCACTATTGGGAAGACAGAACCCATTCTGAAAGAAAAAGACAGCTAATTTGAAAAAGAATTAAGATTGAAGTTTAGAAGAAAAAAAAGATGATTATCTTGTTAATTTCCTACCGTTTCCAAAAGATTGTGCAACTAACTCTAATAGGAATAAAACACTATTGGCCATAATGGACCACTGGAAAAGGAGGGTCAGCGAAAATGAGGGAGCTCCTCTACAATATGGATTGACGCAGTAACTGCAATAACGGCCTCAAATATATTAACAATTGTGGAAGGTGCAGAACTCGGCATGCTTTGATGTTATACATATGGCTGCCTTACTCAGAGGCAACTCAATGTCAACTAACAAGGGTAACGGAAACTTCATCATAGTAGGATGGGCTTCATTTCAAAATTTTCATCACCTGCTTAAAATTATCATTGTGGTCCAGTCAGTCCATCATCAGTCACGCCGTGTGGACTACAAGACGCAGCGCAGTCCCATCTGTCCCTGAACTCTGGTGCTCTGGGGAGGTGTGGCAAAACCTTCTCTAAGAAAGTCATCCCAGTCCCAAAGGTAGATGCTGACCTAAGCCGAATATGCTTGATACAGTTGATGTATGGATAGTTTCAAGGGCTGTAAGAGCCCCCAATAAAATGATTTTTTAAAAAGCAAGAGGATTTATTTTGATAAAAAATGCTACTGAGCATTTCTTTTCTTTCATGAATCATAGCTTTGGCACTGTTTCTAATGATTCTTGGTAATTCTTGGTAAGAAAGTCTTTAGCAGCAATTTTGTTGGCTAATGCTATTCTCTCAAACCCTTCCCTTCCAGAGAGCTCTTTGGCATCGTTTGTCAAAGTTTGAAATGGGATTGTTGTGGATTATTCAGATGATTTTGTGCTCACGGAGCTTAATGTGCTATATATGCTGGGTCTACACAAATGTCTGCATGTCTTTTATTTTTTGGGGGGAGGGGGTAGCCTTTCTTTTGCAATAATCTGTCCTCTACCTTCAATTTGCAGGTGTCCTCCACATCCCGGGCCACAGGAGTACATCCTCTGAGGTAAGGCGAACCCTCAAACGCTGGAGCACAGACTATGCAAACAAGGTGGCTGATCATTTGTGGTGTGAAGAGATAGTCACGTTATCAGAACAAGAAAGCACGGGTTGGGGGGGGGGGGTCTACCAGCAAGCAACACACCAAAGGAAAAGGATTTCATGATAGCCACAATCCTTACATTTTTCCCAATTAATTAGTTGACATTGTTTTTAAGCCAGAAAAAGTTTTGAGAACTTAAAAGCAGCAGCTTTAGTGGGGCAGGGCATGACTTTGTGGGGAAATACATATGGATTTGGGGAAGGCATTTCGGGAGGGGTGGGAGTGAGAAAGAGCCCTATTCGAGGTGGGGAGGAGCGGTCAGCAGAGCAGGGATGGAGGACGCAGGGCGGGGGTGGGGGTGGGGGTGGGCAGGGCCAGCCGAGGTCAGTACCTGGAAAGGTGCCACGCAGGGATACTACAGATGGATGAAGGATGCGCACAAGTGGCACTCAGACCACCGTCCCCTGTGACCTGTCGAGCCTTCATTTGTTGAGCAAGTGATCCGAGTGTCTACTGTTGTTCTATGTGGCAGGCGATGGGAGCCGGTGACCAGTGGCAAGGGTTAGGGAGTTAACGACCTTTGTTGGTAAAGCTGCGAAGAACAGCGGAGGCGGATGGAGAAAGCGGCTCTGCGTTCCAGGGAGAACAGGGTCCGCTCCGAGCCGCCCGAGGGGCACACCGGAGCAGGCCTGTGGACGCGGGCGCGAGGGCAGGTGGCCATGCGTCCGCAGCTGCGCGCACACGCACACATGGTGGCACGGAGGCCAGGCTCGTCTGTCGTGCCTGCTGGTGGAGAATGCTGGTCCCCAGAGTGCAGCCTGCATTCTGGTCGGTACCAGCAACGGAGAGGCTGAGAGCGAAATGAAGAGCGTGTAATGTGAGCTGCAAAGAAAGGGAGACCCATGAGGAGGGGCATGGATGGGGCTCTCCGTACTTCATACGTTAGCCAATATTAACCAACCAACCAACCCACCCCACGGCCTCTTCGAGGAATCTGACGCATAGCGACCCTACACAGGGTTTCAGGGGCTGCATATCTGTACGGGAGCAGAGGATCTCGAGGTACGGTGGGTTTGAACCGCTGACCTTGTGGTTAGCCCAACGCCTAGCCCACAGTGCCACCAGGGCACCTCTTAGCCAACCTCAAGTTCTATCTAAAAGACGGTTCTGGCCAAGATGCCCAGGATTTGAGAGCACTGGTATGACCGGAGGAGACAGGGAAGGCAGCCATTGGCAGGGGCAGGAAGTTGTCACCCAACAGGGAGGGCAACTGACTGCTCCAGGGACCCAGGAGCATAAGAGATAAGGAGGCAGCTGGGGAGACCATGATAAATGGGGTGTAGCTAAGGTCCCACAAAGCGCTGAAAAGTGGGTGGCAGGGAGAGCAGAGTGCAGGGTGACGTCATAAAGGAGGGCTGGGAATAGTGCAGGTCAACTGGGCCAGGGCTGGCCAGGGGGTGCCACTCTGCCGGCCTTCTCTGGGCTTCACTTCCCCTGCACCCCGCTCTAGCATGACATTGCTCTTCTCCCGGCTCCTTCCCGGGCCACTGTGACTCATGGTGACCACATGTATGTCAGGAGAGCTGTGCATCATAGGAGCTTCCTTTTTAAAAAATACCTCATTACTGTGAATTGGGGTGAAGGGTTGCAGAGCAGTTCAGTTTTCCATTAAAAAATTCACACATGCAGTACAAAAAAAAAAAAAAATTCACACACGTTTTCCTTCAAGTCCCTGACTGCAATCCCCTGATTGTGTCCAGATGGTTTTCCATGGTAGATTTGGGGACGTAGACTTCCGGGCATTTCTCGGGTGATGCTTCCACTGCCAACCTTGCCGCTAGCAGTCACTCCTGCACAGCCCAGGGCCCCCGTCTTCATTATTTAAGACAGCAGGCTCATTCTTGGAAAGCGCAGCAAAGCTGGAAGAGACTTTATACGTTATCATACATTATCCAATTTAAGTCCATTTCACAGGCAAGGAAAAGGATGTCTAGGGGGTCGTGGCTGTGGAGAAAACCAGCTATTGCACTGAATTGGAAAAGCCGTGGGGTCCTGCCCCAGGCCAGCTCCTTGGAAGAGAGCCGGAGCTTAAGCCCGCCCCAAAGCACACTGAGTTTCCTGCCCCAGAGACAAAGCGTTATTCTTCCTTTGCGGAAGTTAATGATTAAAACCTAGTCTGATCTAAAGCATCTTAACTATAGTTACTAATTAAGCCCACCTCGGTGAGAAAAGCACTCCATTTCAGACAGGAGAATGGAGTGTTCTCTTAAGCCATATCTACACACCTTCCAATTGTTGGAGCATAAACCACACAATCACAGTATCTCAAAGCACACTTAAAAATACTTCGCAATACCACACGTTTTAACCTGTGTCATTTTATATTTTCTCCTCCTTGCGTGCCACATGCTGGGCCCCAATAAAACGTTTTTGTAACCATTGTGGGGAGGGCTTTAACCAAAATAACTTCACTTAGTGTTTGAGTGAATGAGGTAATAAAATCTGTTTGGTGGGTTCACTGTCTCCAGATCGGGCTGTAATTACACCCCAGAAGGAAGAGAGGTAGCTGAGTCTCAATCTGGATCATTTGCGTAAACTCAGACTTCTTGTCAACGGTGCTCTCGTATTGCATACAAGCAAACCACAAAAATCATCTCCTGTGAACCACCCAGAGACAGTGTCCGATTGCAGAGCTGTGGGGCTGCCGGTATTCTTTCTGTGATTGGATGTCTGCGGTTCCAGCCTCCAACTCGACATTCTGAGGTTACAAGAAAAATCTCACCAATGAATTCCCCAGGTCAACAGTTTAGATGACTGAGACGTGTAAAAATTAAAGGTATTCTCTACAGCAAAGCTTTACCAAATGAATACATTTCATTGGAAGGATGCGACTCATTTGGGTTAAAAAAATAACAGGGGCTTTGAAATGGCGTTTGAAAAATATTTGGTCTTCAAGAAAGAAAAACAGGCAAGTCCTACTATACCCAAGTTAACCTTTGATAACACTTTAATCTCCTACTTTAAACATTCGGCATTTCCCTCTCCCCAGCTATGTCTCAAGAACAGAAATCTTACAAAAACCACCTAGCACAAACGTTGTCCACATTGGATCTATCAACAGCACAGTCATAATCATACAAAGACTAAGCGTGTTTCTTAATTCATTGAACTGTCCGTCGGCGGTGTTACTCGGGCCACATATTCTGGATGCGACAGTCCTCTCGGGCTGCCATTGAACCGCTGCTCTGGACACCTGCAGCTTCCAGCTTGCCCGTCCTCTCCAGAAGGAAACCACAGGCCACCGCCCTGGCGCCATCCTCGCTCGGTCCAATCAATAAGGACTTATTTCCTGTCCATTTACTGAGGTCACAGGAGCAAATCTCATTAATTATTTCTGTGACTGCAGCCTCAAGTGTGCTTCTGGCGTGACAAGTGAAAACTGCTTGACCTTTTTTTTCTTCTGATGCTGTTCGCAGCAGTTCCCCAAAGAGGACAGTATTCATTTAGGCAGCGGGAGGGGGCGAGGATAGCCGGTTACAATCATGAACACATTTAGCTATTTCATCACGAAAGTTCTCCCCATCACCTCATTCTCTTGGTGCTTATTATTTTGTCCCCCAGCAAACGAACAATAGTGTCTTTTTAATTTGGTGTCAGGAAAATCTGGTCACTGCAAACACAATGTTTTCCAAAGCAGACCTGGCCTCCGAGGGAGGGAAGCTCTCCAGGGCCTCCAGTGCTTTGTTTCCATGGTAACGACACAGGTCAATAGCTGAAGTCACACCTTTGCCAGCTTTGATTGTTTCTCGCAACTGTCAGGAAACAAATGTACAATAAAAGTCAGTTTTTAAGGTGTGCAGTAGGCACCACAATTCAATTGGGGTGGGGCAGTGGGCAAACAAAGCCGGAACCCTCGACTCCGTGCTGCTGCGGCGGCGACGGTGGCGATACTTTGAGGCAAAGAGGGCACCATTCCCAAAGGTCTGGAGGCACTAGCTTCAGTCCCCAAAGCTCCACTCCCAGCAGCACAATAGGCTCCAATCAGCCTAATTACACCTCCTCCCAACTCCCACCCCTGGACATCCAGAAGTGTGCCAAGCTGAGAGATGGCGGTAATGAAGGCCAGGGCATTTGCATCTCGGGCAATTTGAATTCAGCTGCCTGATTTTTTTTGTTTCTTTGTCTGGGGGCAGGGGGAGGTTGAGGAGGAAGGCTTCACTAACATCCCCGCTAATCGTTTAAAGACAAAACAAAACCAAAAAACACTATATGTTGACAATAGTCCAAAGGAAAATTCAAAGACCATCTATTAGTTCAAAGCCCGCCTCGTTTGACTGAGAGAATTTTTGAGTTGATAAGTTAGGATGACTTGGTCTGCTTCCCCTCATGCCGATTGTGTCTGCTCTCTCTTGGTCAAGGGCTCGAATGCCCACTTGAGTCCCCCTGGAAACCGGGGAGTCCTCTTCTACTCTCCACAGCCGGTCTGGCGAGTGCCGTACTCCCACCCACAGTAGAATTTCCTGGCTCTTAGTGCCTGGATGGTACCGTGTGGTACCATGTGACGGATTACTTTGACTGTGGCGGCTCAGTGACTGTTCCACGTTGGGCTGCGAACTGCAATGTCAGCAGTGTGAAACTACCAGCCACTCCTGCACAGAGTTATAGTTCTGAACTTCACAGGGCGACTCTACTCTGTCCTACAGGGTCCCTCTGAGTGAGCGGTTACTTAATGGTCTGTCTGCTTTCTTTTGGATTGAGGTTTTTCTGTGTTTTATTTTTGTTGCCATTGTTGAGGTTTCTTGGTATAAATTTCTTTATATATATGAAATTCAGGATAGGATTTCTCCGCAGAGACAGTAACTAGATTAGTAGTTTCTTAGGGTTAGGGCAGGGGAGGTTTGGGGAGTAATGGGGAGCTAATGATAATAGGTATAAGAATGAAGAAAATATTCTAAAATTGACTGTGGTGATAATTACACAACTCTTTTTAATATATTTAAATCACTGAATTGTATAATTCACAAATTATATTAAATAAAACTTAAAAAAAAAGTCTTCCCAGTTCTGTGTTTTCCACCACTCTGCTAGGGAGTCCTTTATAAAAAAGATGCAAATGTGATCTTTTTCAAATTTGCACTGTCTTCCAATACCCTTCAGGAAAATGTCCAAGCGCCTTCACGAGGCTTCAAAGTCCTCTTCCAATATAGTTTTTGTCCGTCTTGTCTCCTTTCCCTCCTGACCATGTCGCTTTGAGGACTAAGGTGTGCCTGAGCCAAGCATGGTATTTTCAATCGCCTTCCATGCAAGTGAAAGCTGAACAATAAAGAAAGGCTGTAGAACCATTCCTCTGGATTTTCGTGTTGGCAAAGAAGATGAAATATATATCATGTAGTAGCATGCTTGGTAAAGTAGAAGGTTCTTGAAAAGGAGGAAGGCCCTCCATGAGGTGGATTGACACAGTGGCTGCAACAAATAGCAAATGATTGTCAGGGTGGGGCAGGACTGAGCAATGTTTCATCCTCTTGTGCACAGGGGTGCTATGAGTTGGAAATCAACTGGGTAGCACACAACAACAACAACAATACTTAAAGAACAATACTCTCAGAAATGATCTACTGTCTTCCCCTACAAGTTGTTCAAATGTGTCGGTAGCACTGGAAGAACCAGGACGATGACTCCCCTAATAGGCACCTAGCCCTTCTTCCTCTAGACTCTCAGAGAATCCTGTGCATACCTGGAGTAAACAGTGTTAGATTTAATTCCCATTTACTTCTATATCTCTTCATAAAGCTTTAAATTACTGCATAATGCATGAAATACAAATAACAAAATAACCTGGCTTATTCTTCTAATCATAAAGATAAGAAAACTGAGATTCACAGAAGCTCAATGACTTACCCATGACCACATGTGAACAGTGACAAGTTGTGATAGTTTTTTTGTGCCAGCATGGCACCTCTAAGATATGGGTAGAGTTTAGCCTGTCAATCAGGCCACAGCTTGATGACCTCATTTGGAGGTACCACTGAGATAAATGGCTCTCTGGAGGCAGGCCACTCTTTCTCTGCCTTTACTTTTATGCTGGTGAGCCAAGGTGAGACCTGCTTGAGCCCCGGAGATGCGTACACACCAGCCTGTGAGCTACTGCATCAGGAGGCTTTGGGAGTCAGAAGAGGGATTTATGGACTAGAATTGGATTTATGGACTAGTATCAGACATATGGACTTTAGTTGAACTGGGATGGGATGTTTTCCTGATATATAACTACTTCTTGATATAAAGCTCTCTCTTAAACATATATGATTGCCATTGGATTTGTTTCTCTAGTCAATCTAGCCTAACGCACAAGTTGAGATTAAACGCTAAGTTTTCTAATGCCTGGTCTATAAACACCTAATACTATACTCTGTGACACTTAGCACTTCACAGATAATTCCCTACTTCCTGCCAGCTTTGGGAACCATTTCGGCCTCGGGTTCTTTGGTCTCTTGCTAATCAGTGAATGCATGAAGACACTAGATAGAGATAGGTCTCAGAAGCAGCCAGGTTGAAACTGCCATTCTACCATTATAACCCTACAGTCCTAGGGAAGCCGTTTAACTGCTCTGAGTTTTTGAACCCCCAAAACCATTTTATTGGGAGTTCTTACAGTTATCATATAATTCCATAGTTCAATCACATCAAGCAGTACTGTACAATTGCTACAAATGTTTCAAAACATTTTCTTCCTTCTTGAACTCTTATATGAGCTCCCCCCTCCACCCGCCTCCCCAGCTTCCCCTAACTGCTCTGAGCCATAAAGGGGAATAACTCCAGTCCCCGTAGGACTCTGCGAGAGACAGAGTGGCAGTGTTTAAAGCACACTGCGGTGTCAGACAACGTAGTTCTCCTTCCTTACGCACAGAGCCGTTGCCAAGAAACCCGCTCCACCCACCCTGATCAAGTCTATCTTGGCTTCATACATGATGCCTCTGGCCGTGGCTGGACCCAGATCGCATCAGTCTCAAGCATATTAAAAGACAAGAGATGAGAGAGAGAGAGAGAGAGAGAGAGAGAGAGAGAGAGAGAGAGAGAGAGAGAGAGAGAGAGAAGAGGAGAGAGAGGGGAGGGAGGTGAGGGAGGGAGAGAGAAGGAAGGGATACACAAAAAGATACACAGAGAGAACATTTGCCCT